CCCCCCCCCCGCTGCAGCTTCAATGGCCGCCGGCTGCCGCGCGGCCTCAACGCCCCGCGCGCTGCCCACCGGCCTCCCCCGCCGCTGCCGGTGCCCGGGGGTCCCGGTGCCGGGAGGAGGTTGGAGGTTTGGGGGGGGGCCGCGGGGGCGCGCGCTCACCTCCTCCCCGCGCTCCCCGCAGCGACTGCAGCAGCGGCGCGCGCCGCCCCGGCGGTTGCAGAGCCCGGTGACGTCGGAGGGGGCGTGGCGCGATATGCAGATGAGAGGCTGACGTCAGCGGAGGGGCGCACGGGGAGCGCCGATTGGTCGAAGGCGCGCGTTGATTGGCAGCCGGCAAACGGGGGCGGGGCCTAATCGGGACACGCCCCCTGCCGGGCGCGGCGCTGGGGCTGCGGGAGCGCCCGTCCTCGGCGCGGGGCGGGGGGAGCGGGGAGGGCCGCCGGGGGGGGGCGGTAGGGGGGAGCAGCCCCGCACCGCCCCACCTGTCACCCTTAGGGCCCCTGAGCCCATCGCTCTCGGTGACCCCGCGCCCTGAGGTGACGCCCGCTGCAGGTGGGCGGCCGTGTCCCGCCCCGGACCCCGCGTCCTCCGACGGCCCCGCTGCGGGCTGAGCTCGGCGCGGATTAGGCCGCGGCAGATGGCGGGGGCTCAGCCCGCAGCCGGGGCCCGAAGGCCTCAGGACCACCCATAGGGCCCCGCGCCTCCACCCCCCACCTCCAGGCGCGGCCTCCCGCACCTTCGGCCCGCAGCATCACCCCGGTCCCCCTTTGGGGCTGCGGGCAGCACGAGCTCCGCGGGGAGCACCGAGCGCTGATGGAGCACCGAGCGCTGATGGAGCACCGAGCGCTGCCCCCCCACGGCCGGGGGCACGGAGCTCCCACCCGCCCCGCAGAGCCCCGCACCCGTGGGGCGCCCGCCGCCCCCCAGCCCGGCCCTGGGATCCGGGTGTTTTCCCCCCTCCCAGAGGGTTTGAGGCAGGCGGCCCCCCACCGTGGGGCGAAAGGAGGGGGTGGCAGTGCGGGGCTGGGGGGCCGTGGGGACCCTCTGTTGCTATGGGGTGAAGGGAGGGGTTTGCCGGGGCGGCGCTGCGGGTGGGGCCGTGTTTGCCGATCAATCACCCCCGGGAGCAATGCGGAAGAGCAGGGAGCAAGCTCCGCGCCGCGCCAAGCCGGCGATTAAATATTTACCTTCGTGGGCAGTGTTTGCCAGAGACGGAGCGACATTTCCAGGGAGGAGTTCGGCTTTGTTCGAGCGCACGGCGCTGCTCTCCGCGCACCCCGCGGGGTCCCGGGGGCACCGAGCGCATCGCGACCCGGGCACGGTGCCCCCAGCGCCCACGAGAGGAGCACCGTCCGCTTTGGGGAGGAGTGGAGAAACAAACGAGGTTTAATATCTGGAGGGTGAAGGAAGAAACCGAACCGTCGCGGGGCCCACGGTGCCAAACGGCACTGAGTGCAGGCAGAGCAGCTCCTGCTGCGTGCGCCCAGGTGAGGCTGATAGGATGAAGTGAGCTACAAAAGGCTTTAAAAAGTGAAGGCGTCCCCAAATAAAAACACCTCCGACTCGTGGGCACACAGCCAGCGTTGTGCCGTGTGCCACCGTGACACCAAAACGCTTTTGGCTGCACTGTGCTGAGTGCTCTGCTGTGCCCAGGGCTGGGATGGGGCAGGAGCAGCATCTCGAGCCCTGTTTGTGGTAACGGGGACCTTTCCCAGCAGCTGGATGCCGGGTGGAAGCAGGGGAGGAGGTGAGCAATATCCTCATTGCCATTAGCACCTGCCCGGCTCCCACATGGGGACGCCCTCTGGGGCTCTGTGTGCCAGTCCCAGCAGTGCCCACGACCCTCACTGGGGCAGTGCCCAGTCCCACAACCCCACAGCAGCGATGGTAGCCTCCGGCCAGGCCCTACGTGCCCAGGGGCAGGAATGTGACATTGCCCTCCGTGTCCAGGCACAGCTCCCTGCCGCCCTCGGGATCCGGCGCTGTGCACCCACCACCAGCCCTGTCCTTTGGCAGTGTCCCCTCCAGCACTCTCCTGTTGTCCACCTCCCGGTCCCCGGAGCCAGGTGACAAACGCTCTGTGTCGGCTGACTCCGAATCATCCGTAGCCGACGTCTTGGAGCCACTGTTGTCCTCCTCCAAAGGGCTCTCGGGCCCCTCCGCTTCCGTGTCCGACTCTCCCTCCTCCTCTTCCAGCGTCATCTCAAACTGGGACTTGCCGGGGTCAGCGGGGGGAACTTCGGATCCCACCTCTGGTGGTGGGGAGGGGCTGCGTGGGATCATGCTCTGGTACCACTCCCTGTTGTCCTCCAGCGTGTCCAGGATCTCCTGGGCGTCGGGGTGCACCAGGTCGGCCCAGGTCTCCCACAGCGGGTGGGCGATGAAGTCGATGAATCCCACCTGTGGGAAGGGAGAGCTCAGCCCCCCACACTGCCCCTCAGCCCCGACCCCACGCCGTGCCCCCACCTGGGACTTCTCCACGGAGGCGGTGTGCTTGTCACACATGGGGCTGATCTCCATCCCCTTCTCTCGCTCCCGGTCACCCTGGTGGAAGAACTCGGCCATGATGCGGTCGGTCCACTGCCGGTACAGCTCCAGCGGTTTGGTGGGGTTGCTGAGGTCGGCGCAGTGCACCATGTTCTGCAGGACCTGCACGGGCACCGTGCTGCTCACCGACAGCCTTCATCCCCAAGGCCACCACCGGGCATCAGCTCGGTGCTATGGGTTGCAGCAGTGCTCCTGCCACGTCCCCGTGCCCACCTGGATCCGGTCAGAGTAGTTGTCCAGCAGCAGCACCCCCAGGCTGGTCACCTTCTTGGTCTCCACCATGGTCTTCAGGTCCGCCAGCAGGTTCATGTGCTTGGACATGTCGGTGGCCAGCACCTGGGCAGGGCATGCAGGGCAGGGTGCTCAGCCTGACCCCAGCACCCCGCAGCCCCGGCACCACATAGATGGCCACCCGGCGCCGCGCACCATATCGATGGCCATCTTGCGGAGCGACTGCCTCTGCTTTTTGCTCAGGTTCTGGAAGATGTCACAGTTCTCCTCCTGCAGCAGCTTGAAGCCCACGGCCAGGTGGTGATTCTCCAGCACCGAAGCATCGTTGTACATCAGCGCCAGCTCCGAGTCTGCGGGATGGTGTTGGTCACGCCGCGGTGACCCCACGCACGCAGCCTCGCCGCCCCGCTCCCCCCGGCTCACTGGTGTTGATGAGGAACTGATTGGAGACGCCGGGGTGGTCAACGTCGTGGATGGCGCTGGCGAAGATGGCGGCCATGATCTCCAGGTCGGTGAAGACGGCCTGGGAAGGGCGGCACGGGCGGTCACAGCCACGGCGGACGTGTTTGGTGGCACCGAGGGAGCGGGGCTCACCTCCAGCGCCGGCGTGGAGAGCAGCACGTGGGTGGACTGCGCCACGTCTGCGGCGTGGATGTTGTTGTGATACGCCACGTCGGAGCGGTAATGGTCCTCCAGCGTCAGCATGTAGGTGAGGAAGGTGTCGGCGGGGATGCGGAACGTCTTCATCAGGTCACGCTCCTGCAGGAGGACCGGGTTGGGGTCATTCATCCCCAATGGGGTGCGGGGGTGTGGAAGGGGCAGCCCCCCCCCGGTGCTCACCTGGAAGATGCTGTACATGAGGACCGTCAGCGGGCGGTTCCCTGAGTACTCAGCCACTTTGAAGATGTCGAGACCCCACTTGTTGGTGTCCTGCAGCTCCTGGGGACCGAGGGATGGGGTTCTGCGAGGGTCGGGACCCCAATGGGGGATGGACCCACACTGGGTGGGGGCTCACCTTGGCCAGCAGCCCCTCCTGCTCCGTGCGAACCCCAAAGCGCGGGATGGCAGCAGGGCGGGGGCCGTGGGCCGGCCTCCTCACACCACTGATCTGCGACATCGGCCGCTTCCTGCGCTCCCTCTCCTTCTCCTTGGGCAGTGCTGGAGGGATCTCCACCTCGTGCTGCTTGTCTGCGCGGCCGCGGCAGTGAGGGGGAGCACAGACCCCCCCCCAACGGCTGACGTCAGCCGGCACGGAGAGCACCGCAACGCCATGGCAACCGGGGGCTGCCGGGGGGATGCCGGGAGCTCCCCCCACCCACCCACCGTAGGGTTGTCCCCTGGGATCCCCCATGCAGGGACAGCGCCGCGCCAGCTGCCAACCCACGCACCAGCACAGGGCAGCATCCACCAGCACGCCCCAGTTTGCGCCGGTGTTCATAGCCAGGACTGAGGCTGTGACAGCCCCAAAGCCACCAATCTTGGGGCAGCTCCTAGAGAAGTGCTCCCCCAAACTGCAAAATGCAGAAGTCGCTGCCCCACTGGCAGAGTGGGGCTCAGCACTGCAGTGATTTGTGCCCAGCTCTGTGCAGCCGTCGCAGGCCCTGAGCTGCAGAGGGGTGCGGAGGCCCTGCCTCCCAGGAACTCACCCAGGAAGGTGCTGGAGATGTACTCGGACACCTGGTTCCCCGAGCGGCCGCTCTCCGAGAGGTGTGAGAGCTCCCGGCTCAGCATCCGCTTAAACTGCGGGCAGCAGATGGGGGTGAGCGGTGCTTGGGGCAGCCCCTGTGCCCCCATGGCACCCCCAGGATGGCGGTCCTCACCTTGTTGGAAGCCATCTCGCCGACCGAGTGCCGCGTCTGCAGCGTCTCCAGCTGCTCCAGGCACCAGTCCAGCTCGTCCAGGGTCTCCAGCGACAGCTTCTGCTGAGCATCCTCTGCTGCGGGGCAGCACGGCATCACAGCCGGGCACGGGGACACGAGTGGGGGCCCGGCCCCGCCATCCCCACCGAGGGATGCTCACATCCCCATGGGGCCGTGATGGGACGGGGCTGGGGAGCGGTGCTGAGCGGGCGCTGCGGCCGGGCGCTCTGTCCCCGGTGCACAGCATGGTGTCACGCCGTCCCCACGCCTCGCCCCGAGGTGACACCCGGCCCGGGGCTCCCACAGGGCTCCACGCACCGCCCGGGGATTTATTAATGGAAGCTCTGACGTCAGCGGGAGCCGTTCCACCGCCACCGCTGTGCGAAGGGCGGATGGAGCCGCCGAAAACCCGACATGGATCCCAAAGGGCAAAGCCATCGCTGCACCCACGGGTGAGGGAACACCGCACCCCCACTGTGGGACAGCGACCCACCCCTCCCCCCAAACTCCCTGTTTTGCCCCCATTGGGACACTCAACTCACCAGACAGGCCGGCCCTGCTGGCAGAGGGGAGGCTGCTGCTCGACGCCCGCCTGCAGGACACACAGAGCTGAGCACCACACCGTGCCCCCCCCAGATCAGCCCCCCCCCCACTCACTTGGTGCCCACGCGCTCCTGGAGGTGCAGCAGCACTGTCACGTTGGTGCGCACGGTGCGCAGGCTGGCCAGGACCTGGGGGGTGCGAGAGGGGCTGGAGGTGGGCTGCGCACCCCCGGCCCTCCCCATAGCACTGCGGACGGGGGGACACGGGGACGTTTCCCCTCTTTGCCGCACGGCCGCACCTGGGCGAAGGGTGTGACGATCATGTCTTCCCCGTGCCTGCGGGGAGCAAAGAGTGGGTGAGGAGGGGGAAGGGGGGCGGGTTGGGGGCGAGGCGGAGGGTCGGGGCTGACTCACAGGTCGCTGGCGATGGAGGAGTTGCGGGACATGGCCTTGGGGGACAGGTCGTAGTCGCTGTCGGAGCGGTAGAGGAAGGACTCGCGGCGCTGGCCGTGGGTGAAGGCGCCCTGCAGCACCAGCCCTGCGCCCGGGCTGCACTGCGGCTCCAGCGGGCCCCTTCCCGGGGGGCCATTCTCCAGGTCAAAGCTGCAGGGATAGCAGACGGGGCTGGCATCGGCCGGGGCACTGGGAGCACTGGGGACACCGCTGCCGTCCCCATTCACCGCCAGGGCGAGGCTGGGACCCATCCCGCTGCTGGAGGTGAGCCGCCCCGTGTCACCATCATCCCTCGTCCCAGTGTCCCCAGCACCGCGGTCTGCTGCGAGTCCTCGAAAGTCTCCATCAGCCGTAGCCCGAAGCGCCGAGTCCCACAGGGGACCCGTCCAGGGCACGGAGCCAGGGGACATCGAAGGACAGAAACCACGGGGGAAGCCAAGCGCCGGGCCCTGGGGACGCGGTGGGGCGGTGCCATCCGAAGCCGTGCGGCCCACGGGGGACAAGAGGCACGGGGACGGAGATGGTGGCCCTGTGCTGTCCCCATGGCAGCCACCGCCCCGCTGCCCCTGGGTCATGGGAACAGCTGAGCACGGGGACACAGCGAGGGTCACCAGCACCCGTCCCCTCCCAATGCCGCAATGGGGACGGGGATGAGCCGCCCCAGGGAAAGAGTGGGGCCGTGCGTCCCCGTCCCCCCCACACACTGCAGGACCTACCCGACGCAGGAGTGCCTCCGGGACGGGCAGCGGCTGCCTGGCTGCATCCCCGGACCCCGCTGTCAGCCTCTGCCCCGCGTCCCCGATGGTACGGGGACACAAAGCCGCATTGTGACTCCTCCTGCCCTGCGGCTCAATTGGGGGTTTGTTCCCCCTCCGGTGCAGCTCAGCCACCTCTGACCCCGCTGCCACCCCGGGGACAGCCCCGACCCGGGCACGGTGTCACCAAGATGTGGAGCAGACACACACATACCCCCCACAATGGCTGTGGGGCACACCGGGGTGGGGGCAGTGTGGTTGGGGAGGGGGGGACACAGCCGGGACAGCAGATCTGGAGCCGAACTCAGAAATACTTTCCATGCTGTGTGGTGTCAGGCAGCAGGGGGGGCTGGGGGCCGCTATAAATAGGTGCTGTTAAAATTGGAGAGGACGCCGCTGTTCCCTGCAGTGCCCGGCCCCTCCAGGGTGGGAGTCAGTGCCTCCTGCCCCTCTGCTGTGCCTGCCGTGCCCCCACCGTGGGCAGACACCCCACAGACAAAGCCCAGCAGCCCCACTGCTATGAGCACATCCGTCCTCAGCCAACAGTGCCCCCCACCCAGCTCAGCCCCACCGCCACAAAGGCCCCACTCAGCCCCATGTCCCCACCGATGGTGACACACCGCAGCACTGAGGGCGTCCACGCTGACCCCGTCCCCATTTCCCGCTGCCCCACTGCCACCCCCATGCCTTCAGGGACCCCTCTCGGACCCTCCCTTACCCGAGGGGATGCGCCACGGTGAAGCGGCGCTGCAGGCGGATGCTCTGGTTCACCCTCAGCCTCCTGAACAGCACGGGGGAGTTGCGGGGGGAGCCCCGCGGGGACCCCAACGGCGACGACACCCCCGGGGACGGCAGCATGGCCCCCCTCAGGGCACCGAAGTGCAGAGCTGGGGGTCCGGACCCAAGGGGATGCGAGCGGTGCGGAGCAGGAAATGCGCGGCCGTTCCCCCCGCGGCCCCGGGAAATTTTCCACCCCCCTCCCACCCGCGCCTGAGAAATTAAACAACTGTCTGGTTCGGCCCCCCCTGGCGCCCCGACGGCTCCTGCGGCCCCACGTGAGCACGGCCTGCAGGCACGTGGCCCTGTGCCACCCGCTGCCCTCCTGTCCCCGAGATGGCAGCTGTGCCCATCGGGTGAGGATGCTGTGCTGGGATGTGAGCAGTGCCACACTGAGCTCCGTGTGTCCCGGGCACAGCGCCTGGAGCGAGCTGGGCACATGGTGGGGACACACTGCATTGCCACCGAGGGACAGAGCTGTGCCTGCAGCATCTGAGACGGATGAAGCGGCCGCGCCAGGATGTCACCGAGGGACACAGTGTGTGACACACAGTAGTGTGATCAAGGGACACAGCTGAGCCCAGAGCATCCGGACACACGGTGTGGACATGTCACAGTGCCACCAAGGGACGTGTCCACGCCTGGAGCATCCCGGATACACGCTGTGATCACGATATGGTGTCACCAAGAGACGTGGCCGAGCCCAGATCACCCCACGTACAACTGCAATCATGCCACAGTGGCACCAAGAGGCCCACGAGAGCCAACCTCGTCCCCCCACACTCCTCCTCACTGCCCAGTGTGGGGACACAGAGCTGCCCGGCACCCCCAGGGACACTCATGGCCCTGTCCTGGCCGTGGGAGCCGGGTGCCCCCTGACCCGGTGACGCAGCGGTACCTGCTGTCTGCGGCGAGGGCCAAAATATCCCGGGGGTGGCGGGGAGCCAGGAAGGGCCCCCCCAGCACGGCGGCACACGTGGGACCCTCGGAGGCACCGGGTGAGGGGTGCGGCGGAGGGGACCCTCTGGGTGCGTGCATGGGGACATCGGGGGGGTGTTGCGACAGCCTGGCACGGGGTGCGGGGGGGATTGGGACAGCGGGGTGGGGACACAGCTGTCCCCGCCTGGCAGCCGGGAGCCCATGGGACAGCAGGGCTGGGCCGGACCGCGGAACAGCCAGTCCTCGGCTCCGGGACGGCACTGCCCGGCCCCCCTCCTGGCGGAGACACGTGTCTGTGTGCGGGGGGGGGGCAGCGGGTGACACCGGAGCCGGGGCCGGGCCGGAGGTGGCCCCCCAGACTGGGACGGCCCCGGGGGATGGGGACGGGAACGGCCCCAAAATAACGGCGCGGCGGTGCCAGGGGAGAGAGTGAGGTCACCTCCGGGTCGGGACGTGCCGGGGGGGGGCAACTCCGGGACTGGGGCCGGGACCACGGGGCCGGGACGGGCGCTGCCCACCTCCCCGACCCACCCCTCGGGGCCGCTGTCCTTTCCCCGGTGCTGAAACCGGTTCCGTTACCCCGCCGTAACCGCGGTACCCCCCCGTGTCCGTCCCGGTGCTGAGCAGAACCCTCGGGTTCCCCGACTGTCCCGCGGGGCACTGAGTTCCGGGCAGCCCCGCACCGGCGCCACTTACCGGGGGGAGTCCGCCTCGTCACCGCTGCTGGGGCCGCTCTCCTCGATAGTGAACACCACGCGGGAGCCCTCGGGCTCGGGGCCCCCCCGGCAGCCGAGCGGAGGCAGCAGCGGAGTCCCGGAGAAGCGGCGGCGGACGGCGCCCGGCAGCGATCCCGGCCCCGGTCCCGACGGGACGGCCTCGGCGGCATCGCGGCAACGCTGAGGGGGACACGGGAGAGCGGGCAGGGGGCGGTGAGGGGCCCGAGGTGCAGACCCCTGGCGTCTTCGCCCCCCCCCAAGAGGCCCCGAAATGCGGGGAGGACAGCGGGGGATGCCCCAGCAGCTCCGTGAGTTCCCTCCCCCCTCCCGGGATCCCGCTGGAAAATCCCCCGGATCCGGCGCGCAATTACGCAGGGGCGAATAATAATTAACAGCCCATTAGGGGGATAATTAACTCTGAGCGCCATCAGCACGCTAATTGCTGCCCAGAGGCGCCGTGCTGGGACGCTCCCACCAGGGATCCCCCTCAGGCGCCCCGGTGCCCCCCCCGGTGTCCCCCAGGCGCACCCCCGCTACCCCCCGAGTGCCCCCTCCCGGTGCCCGGTCTCGGTGCGGCCTCACCTCCGCGCTCAGGAAGGGCAGCGCTGTGCGGCTCCGTCGCATCGTGGCTGCGGGGGGTGGGGGTGAGCGGGGGCTCCGGGTCACCCCTCGGTGGGGCGGGGGAAGCGGAGGGGCCGTTTACATTCCCACTCTGTCGCGATGGACGGGGCTCAGCGCGGTGCCTCAGGGCTCAGAGAAGCACCGGACCCCCCCGCCGTGCCGCCCCAGAGCCCCCCGCCATCGGCTCACCGCTATCCCCAAGGGACACCCGAGGGACGAGGACCCGAAACCGCGGGGTTGGCCGCGTGCCCCATCCCAGAGCACCACCAGGCCCCAAATCCTCGCCCCCCAAATCTCCAGAAGACCGAAACAGCCCCGGGATCTCCCCAGGTGCCACCGACACACCCCTCCCCACTGCCCAGTGCTGAGCCTCCCACCCCCATCCCCGTTTCCACGTCGGGTACAGCCGCCCCACATCACCTCCAGCCCCACACCCGCCCCCATTACCGGATCGTGCCGCAGCCTCGGCCGAGTGCAGCCGAGCAGAAGGAAGGCGATGTGCGTGCCTGCCCGCTCGCGCCCTCCCTCCAGCCCACCCCGCTGGGGGGGGGGGGCACCGTGCAGTCCCCCCCCCGCCCTGCGCTCCTCCTCCATCTACGCCCCGGGACCTCCATCCCAACCCTGACCCCAAAATGCTCAGGGTTCCCCCGCCCCGAGGATTTGACACCCGTGGGGGTGCAGCTCAGATGGGAAACCAAAGCCAGGGCTGCAGCGTCTTTATTCGGCACAGCGGGGTCACCTGGGGGGGTGACGGGCAAAGGGGGAGTCCTCTGACACTTTGCCCTAAGGAAGGAGAGAGATGGGATGAGAGATGGAAGGGTGAGAGGGGGAACCCCTGCAGCCCCCCCCCCTCGGCCCCCCACGCACCATGGGCACCTCGTCCAGCCGTTGGAAGGGGGGCTTCCTGCAGCGGCACAGCCGCACCAGCAGCATGGCCACGGCCCCAGCCAGCACAGCCACGAAGAGGCAGACGACCACCACCACTCCGGGGTTGGATTTGGAGGAGGGCTGTGCTGTGGGGTGAGATGGGCACCCCGTTACACAGAGGTGCCCACCTGGGTGCCCGTGTCACATCCCACCTACCGCCAGCCCACAGCACCGGGGAATAAAGGGGGAGCACAAAATACTCCACCGAAGTGGATGGGGAGAGATTTTGGGTGGTCTAAGGGGACAGAAGCCTCCTCCCTCTGGGATCCGCACCCCCTGCAAGCACAGCCCCCAAACCATGAGACTTTGGGGATTCCCATGGGGACAGGAATACACAGCAGCACCCAATGGCACCCGAGCACATCCAGTCCCCATGCACAGCATGGGAAGGGACAGCAGCCAGGGCACTGTGCTGCTCCCCACACACCCCAAATCCCACCCCATAGGGCTCACCCAGGCTGCTGGTCCTGAGCGGCTGTGCAGTGCTGGAGCTGAGAGCTGAGGCAGTGCCAGGAGCGGGGCTGGCGGTGGGAACAGCAGAGCTGGGAGGGGGGGTGGGCTGCCCAGGAGAGGATGGGGCCGGCGCTGTGCCTGGGGACCACGTGTGGTTGGGCACCGTGGTCGGGCTGGATGGGGCCGATGTGGCGGGGGTGTGGGATGGGGCTGTGGTCAGTGGAGCTGAGCCCGATGTCATGGGCGGAGATGGTGTTTCTGCAGGGCTGGAGGGAAGTTCAGCTGCTGCAGTGCTTGGGGTCGCAGTTGAAGATGGTGTTGCAGTGGTGTGCAGTGAAGATGGAGGTGCTGCTGGGCTCTCTTTGCTGGGAATTGTGTCCTGTGCCAATATCTGTGGTTCAGCTGCCCCTGAGCTGAGTGAAGGCACGTCAGGTATCCACATGGTGACACCTACGGACGAGCTGGGCTGCGGTTGTGATGTTGTTAATTCCTGGCCATGGATTGTCCCTAAGGAGAGAGCAGAGCAGCAGGGATGGGGCAGAGCCCCGGGGGGGGCGCAGCACCTCCCCAGTTCATTCTCTGGGTACTTTTGCCACGCACTGAGGGGCACGATGCCCCTCCCAACCCCAGAAGGGCAGGAGGGCTCCGAAGCCGCTGCAGCATTTGGCTCAGCAGCGGTGGGGACGATGAGAGCAGCACCGCGGTGACGTTGTGCCCCAGCCCTGGGGACGCGCCATGCCGCACCGTGCCGGCCCGGGGCGCGCACACCCTCGTTGGCAGCACAGCGCTGTGCCACAGGTGCTTTTATCGCCCCGTTCTTGTTTGCACAACAGGAGGAGCACCACCCGCCCTGCCCAGGGGGCACCACGCAAACAGAGCGGAACCCGGGGGTGGCCCCACCGAGGGGTCCCCGATGGCCACCCATCACAGCGAGCACCACGCGGCGGGGGTTTCGCTGACCCCCGGGGATGGGCAGCGCGGGGGGACGTGGCCACCAGCCCAGTACCAGCCGTGTGCCAGCCCTGCGCCCCGAGTGAGGGCTCGGCCCTGGACCCCTCCCGCCGTCCCGGAGCACCCACGCACCGTCACACCACGGCAGAGCCACCCCCCCCGGGGCCGGGCAGACCCCGCGGACCCCTCCCACACCGCCCAGTGCCCCGCAGCCACCCCAGCGCCCACCCGGAGCTGCCCGGTGTCCCCGCCCGCCCCGTTACCTGCCGCCAGCAGGGCAGCACAGCACAGCAGCAGCCGCGCCATGCCCCCCCCGGCCCCGCCGTCCCTCCCGGTGCTGCCCCGGTGCCGCCGATGCCGCTCTGCCGTTTCGGCCGCCGCCGCCGCCGCCTTTATCTGCCCGGGGGGGGGACAGCGGCGCCCCCTACCGGCATGGGGCGGCGATGCAGCACCGGGAGGGAGAATTCCCC